TGGGTTGGTTCCTAAGGGGTTGTTAATGCGCATCTCTTAAACTCGACCAGACGTATGCCCACCTATTCGCTGTCCCCCGCGACAGAAGCCTGGTCTTGACTACTTCCCATGCCTTCAGCCCCGAGAAGGTCACGATGCCTAATCGCAGTGCCGCGCGGAAGGCGGCCACATTGTAATCATCCGGGCCCTTGACAATGGCGTCATATCGCTTCGGGGTTATGGTGCGCTTCCTTACAACCGGCGCGCGCGAAAGGAGGTATTGGTGCAGTAGCTGGTACTCCTTTGCTGAGATGGTGTAGCGGAGCGCATTGCGCAGTATCGGGTCGACTGGTTGCGATTTAGCGGGGCCCGGCGTGGGCTGCGATGCGCCAGACGACATGGTGGGCGTCTGCGAGGTTATTCGGGCTCATAGTTTGAGGGGCTGTTGTTATTGTCATTAGACGGCACACGCGGAGTCTGGGGAAGCTAGCATTGATGACGATCCCTGGAGGTTGCGCACAGGAGCCGCTCTTGACGGACCTCGGCAGTTTGGCCATGTACCCCAATCTTCTCACATGCGAACGACATTCCTTAGTCTGGGGCTACCCTGGCCCAGAGAGCTGTCCCATGGTCTACATATTGGTGTCTACTAAAACTTGGTTTGTACGCGCATCTCTCACCACACGTTGCGCAAACAGACATCATCACGAGATAATGGCTATGAGTTGTAAATCACATATGTATACTTGTCTATATACTCTATGGTTCCAAGGAAAACCCATGTATTACACCATCGCTTCTTCAGATGCGGACTGTGTATCATGTTTCGCACCAACCGCTAAATACAAACAGTGAAGACATAGAAAAGGAAAGCTGCACTACATTAAAATGTATAGCGTCTACAATGCGAACAAGGCAAGAACCGCACCGAACAGAGCACCCTTGGGCACAACGTTGAACGGCGAGGCAGCGCCAGTGAACTCAGCTGGCGAAGAGGGACGGACGGCACCAGTACCCGTGGCAGTGCCCATTGGAACGGTGGCGGTTCCCATGGTGGAGGGGATGGGGTAGGGCGCACCACCGGCAGGTGTGGTGGCAGCTGGGGTTTGAGGAGGCTCAGCAGTGCCGGGAACAAGAGCAACGGGCTCAGTTGGGTTGGCGCCAGCAGAGGCGGGCTGAGTGGTGAAGTGAACTTGAGGGACGGTAAGAGTAGTTGTGCCGAACGTGATGGTGGTGCAAGGTGTCTCCTCAGCAGGGGTTTCACCAGCAGCAGTGGTGGTGCCAACGACCTCGGTCATGGTTGCAGAAGAGACAGCGGTGGTGATAGCAGGAGTCTCGCCGGCAGCAGTGGTGGTGCTAGCAGCGGGAGTCTCATCAGGGTAACCGGGGCCGTAGGCGCTGGAAGCAGGGGCAGAGGGAGCGGCAGAGCTCTCACCACCAGCAGGGGGAGCGGGAGGAGCAGAAGGAGCAGCGGGGGTAGGGTTCAAAGGAATGTATGAAGGGCAGTCTCCAACAATGGAAGGGTTCTCGGGGACATGCTGGGCACAGATACCGATGAAGTATTGCAGACCCTTGCTGATCTCGTCATCGCTACCGCAGCGGGCAGAGATGCAGTCAATGACGTTCTTGGTGAACTCAGGCTTGAGGCAGTAGCAGCTGGAGTCGGTGTTGTCCTTGCAGTCTGGGGCCGAGATCTGGAGCCACGAGTTCATGCACTTGGGAACCGAGTCGGTGATGTCGACGGGAGGGTAGCTGGGGCTGGAAGGCTGAGGAGCGGCTGAGCTGGTAGCAGGGACAGCAGATGTGACAACGGCAGACGAAACAACGGCGGAGGAGACAATAGCGGAAGAGGCTACAACAGTGGATGACTGCTCGCAAGACTCTCCGTATCCGCAGCCAGCAGCAGCAGAGCTCTCAGATGTGGGTGGCACAACAACAGTGGAAGACTCCGGTTGGGGGGTAGCGGTGCTGATGGAAGGAACCGACGCAGGGTAGCTGGTGATCTCCACGGCGGAGGAAGCTGGAGGAGTGTAGGCGGGCATGGAGCTGTTGGTGTAGGGAGCAGCTGAAGAGGCAGGAGTCTCGGCGGGTGGGCATCCCTCTCCACCGTACTGTCCACACTCGTTGGCCGAAGTGGCGGGAGTCTCGACAGCGGATGAAGAAGCAGGGGTCTCAACAGCAGATGAGACGACGGTAGTCTCGATGGCAGAGTAAGCCGTAGTCTCAACAGCGGAAGAAACAGCGCTGGAGGCTGGGGCAGTCGACGACTCGATGGCGATGGTGGAAGACTGAACCTCGCTTGAGGCGGGGACCTCAGGTGGAGGGGGCGGCGAAGGAGGCGAAGGAGGAGTGTATGGTTTCTCAGCGTCACAGTCGAAGCCGATGTTGTGGAAACCGATCTCGCAAGACTCCTTGTCACCCTTGTAGTGAGATCCAAGGTAGACCTCGACGGACTTTGCGCCACCACACTGGGTGTTCTGCAGTGTTGATCCACCAGCCGAGCAGCTGCTGTGCTGCTTGCAGATGGATCCGTCTCCCATCTTGTAGTGGAGCTCGAGCTCAGCGTCGAACTCAGCCGAGACGTCCATGTGAGTAATGGAGAAACCGCGCTGGGCACAGCCAAATGCAGCGGGCTTGTTCTTCTGGATGGTGTTCTTGATGCACTTGTTTCCAAAGGTTCGCTTGCTCAGAGAGTCCCGCTTGCCGAAGGAGTTTGAGCATTTCCAGCCCCCAGAGAAGTCGAAGTCTCCATAGTTGCCGACATCCTGGCCATCGATAAGATCGGCCCAGTTGAAGCCGCCCTTCTGCTTATCGTCGCAGACGTTGTTGCTGTAGTCGGGAGTGCCGAAGTTGTCGAAGAAGTTCCAGGTGGCCGCGGCTTGTTGAGTGGCGAGGCCAGTGACCAAGAGAGCGTAGGTAGACTTCATGGTGATATATGAACGTCGAAATCGAATTTAGGTAGTAAAGCGAATATCAATGTATGTTGTAGTTGGACCTTAACGAATGACGGTCTAACAAGAGAACAAAGTCAAAAAGAGTGCGACTATGTTCGTCTTGGGAAGCGAAAGTAGCAGCAAATGCAATGCTGAGATTAGAAAACAAAGCGTGTGTAGATGCACTGAGGGGAGGGCCGAAGGGTCAAGATATACTTCTACCACCAGCGCTCGTTCGAAACAAGCCGTCTCGAAACATTTCTGAAGGATTGGTCCACCGAGGGCCTCCGACTCGCATGCTCAGCCACGATCAGAACGAGTCGCCCAAGGAGGTTCCATGTCGGTCGTTGTCGCGCGCTCTGCAGGCCCACTCGGCAGTAGGGTCGTCGGTTACAAGATGACCTGGCTAAAGATGGTGGATCCCAGTCAGATGGCTTTGGCGTGAGCACATCGTAAGCGAACAGGGGCGCTTTCCGAAACGCCCTAAATAGCCCACCGGAGTAGACTATCATGCAGGTACGAGCCAATGGCGTCGGCTGTGTGTATTTTGGCAAGCCAAGAGCGTCAAGTATATTGTGCGACAGGCCAACGACTGGTCGGGGCCCAGTGTCAGTCTTACGGATAGAAACGCAGAGCCGCAGGCTGTCGACAGGTCATCGCAACTCAGCTCTGTTGCTTTTCTGTTCATCTTCAGTAGGGATACTTCGAGTTCACTAATGCGCCACATATGGGCGTCTGGAGGGTTCCATTCTTGCCCACCTCCTGCATCTTCTCCACTCCGTTCATTCTCCTGCATCCGTACAGAGCCGTATCGCCTAGCCAAGTCGATCTCCGTTGCCTGTATTTCCTTTTTGGGCGGAGCCGCCGACCAACTATAGCCATGATGCTGTCGTTCTGAAGAATATGCACGAGCGTGTTTCATGGGTGTTCCGCCATCGCTGCGGCCAACGAGCGTCAGGAACAACAAGCTTCGAGTGACATACATCCTAGGCCCATCGGAAGGTCGTGTCTCAAAGGCTTGGTTGCTTTATTGGAAGGAGCGTGGCATGAACGAGAGCTTTGAAGTGCGTGGGAAAGCCATCGGCTCGTCGTATTAACACCTCAGGTACTTCTGATCGAGTTGGGCGGGCAAGCGAGCCCATGGATGGAAATGCGCGATTCATCGGCCGCAAACAACTCAACATCCCTCTGCAAATCAATACTTTGCACTATCGAAAAGCTGATCTGACTTCTAAATGGAGGTTGCGGTTGCCTGCCTCTCAGACATTGCGCATCATGCAAGGACAAGACAACAAGCTTTAGAGACATGGCGCACGGGTACCTTGCAGCGTGTGGAACAGGGCAAAAAGATGTCGTGAACGGCCGGGAGTGGCGGTGTCAGCTCGGAACACAGGCGCAGACGATTGCTTCGTGAGCGCGGGAATGACGGCACCACCTTGTGTTCGCGACTCGCGATGGACCGTGCTACGAGCTGTCACGACACGAGTACACAAGCGAACTCGGCTATGTGATGAACTTGGGTTTATCGAAGGCTTTCAGAGTATTATGAAGTAAAATAGCAGATGGCAACAACCCTCCATCCTTCAGCCGAAAAGCTGTTTCGATTACATCTCACTACCTCGGGGTATTGTCGGGTTGCCCTTTCGGAGAGCCCTGACACGTTGCTATTCTCGTATTCCCCGTGTCCATGGCATCCCAGCCGTTTCAAGAATTCATCCGTGATGGAGGACCTCGCATGAACGACTGACTTTATGCTATGTTCTACCCCAGTGCTCTCAGCTGTACACTCGACAACGGCAGTTACTGTGACTTGGGCCTGTGGAAAATGTGTCGTATTGTTCTTGTTGCCAATCATGTAAATGGTAACTGTGATCTATGCCAATGTAAATACAGTAAACGCCAAAAGACCTATGCTAAACGCCAATGCCTTGTATTCTGGTATCGTTGCCGTTGTACCCAAGACGCCGAGGATCAAGCTCGCTTTTTACAAGCAAGTCGATATGGAAAAACGAACAAACAAAAACGCCATGCCAACTGCTCGTCTATAATCAAACTGATGCTTATCATGCGCGAGACCTGCTGCACCGATTACTCTTGATCTTCTACTACAATGCGAACCACTTCGCTCCGACGACGCTCCTTGGTCAGATAGTCGCTAGCCACGTTACGCACTCGAGCGTGACACTCATGCGCTGCGCGATTGAGAAAGGGCACCTGAAGAGCTCCGCAAATTGCAACCAAAGCGGAACCCCACCAAGCTAAAGGCGTGAAGTGAAGCTCGAGAGAGAGGCCGTAGAGCAAACCGGCGATGGGACTTGCTACTGTGCGGCAGGCAGCACCGGTAGATGCAGCCAACCCGTTGATTCTTCCAAGATGCGATCTATCGGGCGTAGCTTCTTTGATCATGATCAGAAGGAGGGGGAAGGCGAGAATCGACGTCAAGTTCCGTACGGTCAAGCAAGCGAACAGACCAGGATAGACCAAGTTCTCAGGAAGAAGCTGTAAGAAAGGAACAATAAAGTATGCGATCGGATGTGCCAGTGTGACCATGAGAAGCAGACGCCATACACCAAAGCAATCCGCCAGTAGAGGGAAGACGAAACCCTGGATCACGAGCTGGATGATGCCGTTGAGGGAAAGAATAATGCCCACATTCTGGATGGGTATGCCAAGCCCACCTCCCAATGACGAAGGCGAAAGGTCGAGCGCGTTCATGTCATCGTCGGCGCGTTTGTCTTGGAGGAAGATGGGGAGCAAGTGATCGTATGTCATCTAGGATACAATTAGCCGGCTGTTCGTTCGTTGTGATGGACTAGGAGACTTACGGAATGGTACGTGAAGATACCTAGGGCGACGACGAACATGATGACTGGACGTGTGAAGACCTTCTCGCTCGTCGGAGATTCAACCCAGTCGCCGTTGGAGCGCACCCGCCAGATCTCGTCGTGTTCGACTTCCACGGCGTTGAAGGTGCCGTAAGATTCCGCGGTCAGGTTTGCCGACGCATCGGCCGTCGCGCCTTGAGCTGGCAAAAGAGGTGTCTCTGCGACAGCCGCATCGTATTGTTCGAAGTAGCCTCGTGGCTGCTTGTCCGGGTGAGTTTCCTCTAGAAGGAAGTATGCCATGAAGATGGAGAGCAGAAGCAAGGAAGCGCAGATGATATTTGGGAGTAGGTAAGGGAACTTCGCAAAAAGGCCTGTGGGGCTGAAGACAGATGGGAAGTTACGAGCGGGCTCAGCAAAGTATCCACCAATCGACGCTGTTGTAGTTAGTACAAATAAGCAGGAGTCGATGGATTGATCTTGTCTTACGGCCAATGATAGTACCAATGCTCCAGACGAATGGCATGACTGCGTACGCCTTTGCTGTTTCTAGTTAGCAACGCCCGACAGAAGTAGTTGTGGTCACTTACGTTCATGCTCTGGTCGCTTGACCAACTCTCCAACCATGGTCTGGATGACGCCAATGTTGCCATTGAGTGCGCCGCCGATGATTCGCCCAAGGAGCGCGACCCAAAAGTTTGGAGCTAAGCCAACAAGTAGCAACGAGGACATTGTCCCAAGACATCCAAGTATGACAACGGGTTTTCTACCTATACGGTCGGAGACTGAGCCCCAATACATGCCTGAACATGCCTCGGCGAGCGAGAAGGCAGAGATGAGCAGACCGGCAAAGAACGGTGCGCTCGTTTCGGACCCAACTTGGAAGTTGGTGACGAGTTTCCAGGCGTATGGGAGTATCGAAGTAAGGGCAATTGGCTCTGCGACTCGAACCAGCGCTGGAGTGTGTTGTCAGTGCGAGGCTCGGGCGAACAACAACTAGTGTCGGTGGCATGGGAAAACCATACCTAGGAGGCCGAGCTGAGCGGCGGGAAAGTTGTCTTGGGTGGCTTCGGGGGCATCTTGAGGGCTTGTTCTTCGGTTCTTGGTAAGAAATGACATTCTGCAACCTGATTTGGTTCTTACGGCTTCGCCAACACGCAGTCGTCGTCTAGCTCGGGGGTGGCTTGCTATGTGAGTAGAGCTTTCTCTGCGTTTGGCCTTGAATCACCCAGTAACAAACAAAATGAGACGCACGAAGGCCGTGAACAAAGGTTGTGCGATGGCGGTGTGTGGTACAGAAAGCAGAGAGTAGAAGAGGGAAAGTTCTGGCACCTGGGTCGGTGCCACCTGCCGTCCAACCAGCGGGTGCACTAGAAACGGGACGATCGGCAGTCCTTGGCGAGCATATTTCTCTGCTTTTTCATCTACACTCATCGGCCTGCTCAACACAAGACCTTCTCCCTCGCGATTGTCCATCTCGATGTCTACTTAACTTTCACATACCCGCTGATTTTCCCGCAAAGATGCCGCTGGAGCGACATTGGGGAACCTTGTTGTTCTATTCCCCGGTGAGCCCCACAAGGCGCGGTGGCAATAGTCAAACGCTAAACTTGGAAGCGACTTAGTGTGAATGGCCGTTTCCGCGGCTCAGTTTGTTCGGGTGCCATCAACTGATCATCCGTCGAACGTCATCTTTGCTATGACAATCGCTTTCCCAGTTTTGCATCGTCTCCCGAAGTCTTGTCTCCAGGCATTCCACGAACCGGGTACCACGCACAATGTGGAATGTCCAGACACCAAAACCACCTTCAGGCCCCGGACGGCCAAGGACGAGCTAGTTCTTGCCCTGCATTCGAGCCAATCAAGACCCAGCCGTACCTTTTTGCAACACCACCAGCTTAGATGTAGTGCTACCGCCTCGATACGCTATCTTCTCGCGATGAGAAGTTTGCATACAGTCTCCCAAACATTTCGCAGCCCTCGGAGCTGTACCATCATGCGTTCGGGTGTCAACGCAAATGTGTGCGCTTGCGAGTGATCGCAGCTACCAGCCACTTAGTTCAACGGACGAGAAGCTCTCATTGCAATTCGTAAGTGTCGTGTTAACATTGATGAGTCAGAAGGGAGGCTAGTCGATCGAATCCGCTACGATAACTACACGTTCTGAAAGTATTGAATTCCGTGCAACAGAAAGCATTACGACTGCGTGCTTTGTCGCGTGCCTCGTGCCGCCTCACATGCAGCCTTGGTGGGAGCACCAGCCTAGTGTCTAGCGCCCGCTTTGGTCCCCACCTCCCTCCCGCTGACCACGGCATCACCTTGTCGACTGCATCTCTCACACTACTCAGACGAACTCTTTGATGACAGACATCTAGCATGCTCAGCTAATACGTCACACCTAGCACCGCTTTTCGGGTGGCTCCAGGACGTTGCCAAGCGGCCAATCCCGGCACGAAGAATTTCTCGAAGACTTTTACGTGATATGTGGAGCTCGCGACGACACGGTCACGTCTCAGCGCAAACTATTACTCACGATGACCCACACTTCTCACAAAAGTTCAGGACCCTTTCTGCACTGGCACTACGCAGCGAGGATGTTTTCTGATGCCTATGCCGCATGTAGCCTCCTCGTGCTCATTCCCCCACAAACTACACTCCGCTATGGCAGGCTTGACAGCGGATCCATTTGAGGTGCGTCATGCTACCCAGAATTCAAGTCAATATGTGCATTAGTCGCCGGGAGGCGATCACCCAGGATCTGCTCGGCCACTAGCACACGTTACGTCTTAGGATGATGACCCAGAGGTCCGATACAGGAGGCGAGGAGATTCAAAAGACCCAGCGTCGCCGCTCTTCGCTACCGAGCTATATTTCGTTCATTGCATTTTGAGACCCTGTAACACGTTGTTACGGTCAAACCTCAACCATGGGTCTAAAAGCCTTTCTCAAGAAAGAGCCCCAAGCGCCTTCCAACGGCGATGTTGCTTCTCACACGACCGCATCGGATAAAGACGATATGGAGGCATACGGACACAACACCGATATAACGACCGGATGGACAGGCGACGGGTTTGCCGGAGCGACCGAGTATCCCAATGCTCCGGGAGAGAACTACCGTACGCTGGGCCGATGGCGAGCGTGTGTGATCCTGATCACCATCGAAGTCGGAATCGGAATCCTCAGCTTGCCCTCCGCTTTAAAGACGCTCGGTCTGATCCCCGGAATTATCGCGATCCTCGGATTCGGTGGTCTGACGACCTATTGCGGTTACATCCTTCTTCAGTTCTACAGAAGATATCCCATGGTCACGAATCTGGTAGACTGCGCGTTGTACGTCGGAGGCAAGCCATTCGAGTGCTTCCTTGGAATCGCTTTCGTTTTCAACCTCGTCCTTATCTGCGCTTCGGCAAACATCACTTTGTCGGTCGCACTCAACACGCTTTCGCGTCACGCCCTCTGCACGGTGGCTTTCTTGGCTTTCCCTCATATTCTCTGCTGGCTGCTCTGCATTCCACGAAAGCTCTCTTTTGCAGCCGCAGCTAGCTGGGTCTGTACGATTTCTATCGTAGCTGCAGTTCTGATCGTCATGATCGCGCTTGGTGTCGGTGGACCACAAGCTCCGCCAGGTTTCGAGGCCAAGATCGTTCTGGTCGGAAAGCCTAGCTTTGTCGAGGCTGTCAATGCTCTGCTCAATGTCGCCTTTGCTTTCGCGGGAAACCAAAGCTTCATCAGCGTTATGGCCGAGATGCGAGACCCATCCAAGGACTTCGCGCCTGCTCTTTTTATGCAGAAGTCCTTCGAGGTCGTAATCTACATCGTGGTCGCCTGTGTCATCTACGGCCTGGCAGGCGATGCAGTTACATCTCCCGCGCTTGGTTCTGCGCCAGAGTTGACAGCTAAGATTGCCTACGGCATTCTTATCCCTTCTGTGCTGGGAACTGGCCTGATCATCGGTATTACTGCCATCAAGTTTATGGTACGATCTCTTCTCCCATGAGAAAGAAGACAAAGCTGACCTCAATATAGTACATCACTATCATGCGTAACATGAAGCCCGAGGCTGTCAACGTACACAACGCCCTTACATGGACCCTTTGGATTGGCCTCGGTGCCCTCTTCTGGATTGTCTCCTTCGTCATCTCCAACGCGATACCCATCTTCTCATCTATCCTCAACATTTCGTCTGCCATCTTCATCTCGTGGTTCACCTTTGGTCTCACGAGCATTTTCTGGCTACATCTGAACTGGAAGACACAATGGAGTTCACCACGGAAGAAGGCGGTAGCCGCTGTCAACTACGGCATCATGATGGTGACGTTGTTCCTAATGATAGGAGGACTGTACACATCATTGAAGGCTCTCATTGACATCTACAATGATCCCAACAGCACTTTGAACGGACCGTTCACTTGCGCGGATAATAGTATATTCTAGATGATACCACGTAATTAAACTGATGATCTGTCAGTACACACAAAAGTACTCACTACACACGATCCACGGCGAGTTCTTTCGAGACTGATTTGATGTGTGATGGAATAGACTCGAAACAACTCTACATTATGGGCTATGCTTCGAAGGGACCAGCGGCCGCTTGTAGTTCGGAGGTACATGGGGTCGTAACTCCAAGCTCTCTGGGAGAAGTAGGCTGGCGGAGCCCTCACCCATTCTCATGCGGTCGCTACCCGGGACCATTGATGGCAAGCTCAATCAAAACGCCGCATATGTACCTGCCTGTGTCAAGTCGCACGGATGGTAGACCGAATGGAGTTGTCGCGGCGACAAAATTCTCACCCACCGAATGAGGAGAAAGGACTAGGACACTTTTGGTGAGGCGGTTCTGGATGGATCGCGATATGCACCACAATTACCAATACTACCGAGTAAGGACCTTGGCGATAGCATAGAAAGCTGAGTCGCTAGAAGAGCCTCATGAAGCGGACTCCTGTTCCGGTGGTAGAATGCCGTAGTGCCTCCGATGGAATTGCCGAGTGCTTTTGTAGACCTTCTGTCTTGTGTAATCATCGCAACATATACTGCGCATTTAGTATGTGCGTCTTCACTCAATGCCATGAGAGTATCTCAAAGATCCCGTGTATCGTGTGCCGTGATCAAAGTGGAAAGGAGAGGATTTCTGGGGACCAAAACACCGGGGAAAGTCTGAGCCCCAGACTCAGAAATGCCGTTGGCGTGTGCCTTTCCTGCACCCCACAGCATCGCCCAGATTGCTACGCTAGGAGACATCTAGAGGTCTGCGGGTAAACACCGGGCTGGAGCAGTCCAATAGCAAGTCCGGTCGCGCACGCTTCTCCACCTCCCGAGAAAACCAACGAGCGTCACGATGTCATGATCCCCGCAAAACTCCATCCTCGGTTCGGACCATTTTCATTTTTGGCGTGCAAAACCGTCATACCCCGGATTCAAGGACGGAGCGGCAGATGTCTAGTCGCGCTGTTCGACACGACCTTTATCCCCCGAGACGAGGCTACCGAGCGACAGCGAGCTAAGGGTTGTCACTATAAAGCATGGCTGAGGTTACCGATTGCTTGGGCTTGATCCCATCTGTCATCGCTTGTCAAGATGTTGCGCAACTCTCTAGCGGCCGCGCTGTTCCTCGGCCTAGCAGC